CCCCAAAACCCCAAAACCCCAAAACCCCAAAACCCCAGCCCTGCTGCTGAATACTGAAACTGGAAGAAAGAGTATTGAAATCCTATTAAAGCCTAATTAAACTTTATTAACCTTCACTGAATCCTCCCCAATTTCAATGCTGTTGTCAGAGCATGAAGTCAGGGTTTCAGGAGTGCTAAACAATGGCAGAGGAATGAACGCCTCATGCTCAAGGTTTTGTTCACAATAGTTCTTCATCTTTTTCTCTAACCCAGCAGAGGCGAAGTAATTAACAAAAGTATTCAGTAATACTGCCAGAATTACTGCAATTGTAATGGAGATTATGATAACTGAAACGACAGATGATCCCTGATGCATCTGATCTTGGGTTATCTTGTTCTCCTCTAGTCACCTGATCAAATAGTCTTCAGCAAGAGTTATCAAAGAATTTCCTATAAATGGAAGTAAATACCAATTTAGCCTAAGTGTGAACCTTATTTTCAAAAAGTTTAAAAATAGCTTATGGAAACGAAGAATGAAAATGCTTACAAGACATTACGATCAGTATCATGCACGGGACTGACATCACTGCCGATATGCTCTTTGTGGCTCTTAGATAGTGATAATTCCTTAAAGAGATCGAAACTACAATGGTGAACGCATTGCATGCATACAGGATTGTCGAATAAATAGGTGTAATGATATACAAAAGTTCTACATATCCCAGCGATTTTGGGAAATATGAAGACTCGATACTATACACTGAGTTGTAAATCACCCCTTCTGGCAATGCGTACTGGAGTAGCCATGGACGCCTTATTCCGCTCATGATCCTCCAAACACATATAAAGAATATGAAGAACGAAGCTGATGCTGCACTCAAGTTCCAGGTAATAAGAGCAGTCTTAATTTTAAGATATCTATTATAATCAATAAGTTCATCTCCAGTAAGGAATGTCTCAGGTGATGACTTATAATCATCTCTGGTTTCATACACCTTCGTTCTTGTGTTATCCATTTTATATATATGGCTATAAAATTCAAATTTATAATCTCCTCTTGGGGTTTTGGGGTTTTGGGGTTTTGGGGTTTTGGGGTTTTGGGGTTTTGGGG